CTATTTATAAAGGGCTGATAACACCTAGCAATATGGAATATCATCAGCTTACAATAAGAAAAATTCCATCTCATCATAACCAACGGTCTCAATCATTGCATAGTAGAGCTCCAAATCAAAAAAATCTGTTTTTGACGAAAAAGCAATAATTCTTTAAATGACCAAAACCTCTTCATTTTAGGTACCTCATTGATCAGTTCAAAAGAATTTTACGTCAAACACTATAGATATATATTATTATAATAGTATAAAAGGTAACATAAATCAATGAAACTTTTTTTCAGGCATTTTTTCCATGAAACTTGATGAACCTTTGCTGGGTTTTCTAAACACATAAATGTGCGTTTATGGGTCTCCAATTGAATGAAAGTCTAGATTCCATTAGAAAATTAAGAAGCAAAATTTCCTAAAACAAATGTTTTCAGAAGGACCACAGCCCAGATCATAAGTAAGGATAGCAAACAAAAGCTTCAGAACACGAGACCTAACCAAGATCAGACAATATTTCATCAGCAACCAAGTTCCAATTTTCCTTGAATTCCCCCTACTTCACCCAAACACTCCAAATGAAAACACAAATCTAGAAACTCGAGAGAAATTCTCCAGAAAGACCACAGGGAAAAAACTTTATGAAGAACTCAGAACCTATTCTTGTCAATTATAGTGGTCAAAATGGGCACTGTCCAATTAGTAATCGCATGGGCCCGACACAACAGAGTCAGTTTGGGGTGGTTTCAGCCATAAGTTTGAGCTAGTGTAATCCAATTTGGGACACAAGAGGATGGGTTGGAAAAGAATAAGAAAGTAAAAGATAGTAACTTTTTATGAAGAAAACTATAAAATAACTTATTTTGCAAAATTTGAGTGTCAAAAATGGACAATGCCATTTTTTTTTTCGGATAGACGACAGTTAAGCATCCATAGACAGAAACCAGTTTGGTAATTTAAAAATCATAAAGTTGACGCTTACAAGTATTGCGAATTTAAGACATAAGAATAATGCTATTTGGAAAAGCTGAGAAAATAAAGAGATACAGAACTTTCAACATGAAACAAGTCAGAAAACAAATGGGTCAAGTACATAAATGGGGATGCCAAAAAATGAAATGACGTTACAAATCTCACGGCAGAACACATCGTGCGACAATTAAAATTTTCATTTTTTCAGCCAAATTTAACCAAAAACCAAACATATACAACAGTTCCCAAAAATAATATTTCAAAACCCTAAACCATCGTAAAAACAAATTAAAACAAGTGAAATTAATGAAATGTGCAAACTTACCTTATTTAAACAAGCTTCCAATAAAAAAGCTTTGGAAAGCCTTAACTTCCTGTGGCTTTCCTCTTTAAAACCCCTTTGAAGAATTGGTTCTCTCCTTCACCAACCCCTTCTTCAAAAGCATTAAAATCATCAAACATTATAAGCAGAAACATTTGTTGAAACAAAAAGAAATAAGTTGGAGCAATTGATTTAATTTGCATCAAATTAACAAAATGTCTAAAAAACCAAATGAAGTTCTACCCCTTAACCATTCCACAAAAACTCAAAAACCACAACTTAACTTTTGCTTCAAAATCGTAACTTCACACTTCTCGTTTTTTGCTTTAAATCTTTCAACCCATCTCAACATTCTACTCCCCTTAATTCTTAAAAAGAGTCAATTAAGTCCTAATTCTATGGTTTAAATAAAGGTAGTTTTGGTGGTAAATGTTTGGAGGTAATAAGAAAGAAAAATAAGAGAAAATGAAGAAGAAGGAAGAAGATTGAAAATGGCGTTTGGAGAAAGAAAGAAGAAAGAAAAAAAAGAAAAAAAAATGTTTGCTGGTGTTACTTTTATAAGTGCTAAAGTCAAATTTGACTTCCTAAAATCATGCCAAAATTTTGTGGCTAAGATCAAAGTCCTAAATAGATCTCAATCTAATGGCTTAAATATTCCTCAAATAATTCCTTCTTCTACTTATTATTAACTCCACCAAATTAATGTACAATCTAACTCCACTAAATAATGATTCCTCTAGTATCCACAACTAGAATAATATTATGCATTTAATACATACAACTCTCCATAAAAATATCTTCTCTTATTATATTATTATTTTTCTACCCCACCTAAAATCCATGCAAACAGCTCCAAAAATAGTAAATAAAAATATTTAACTATGCATAGTAATTTTCCGGACTAAAATAAATACCAATCCCGGACGATGTGATCTATTCACAGAACGCGTAAAATCACTATTACCGGAGCACTAAAAGAAAAATCAAGTCCTGTTACAAAACCACGTTCTTCCTAATATGCTCGTTCAGTGACGTGACAAAGCCAAAGGGGGATGTTTTAGCAATGAAGAGTCCAAATCCTCATGAGAGAAAATTGTTTGTTTACGATCTGAGTAAAAACGCATGTCAGCCACGAATTGAAGTACAACAAGAATTTGAGAAATATGTGTCTTGCTTTAGCATGGGTATGCACCAAAGCTTCCAGCATTAAACTTAATGCCCTCTGTATAGCACCACTTCAAATCATACTGTAGCATAGCCCGTTGAAATTCCCTTATGGAGAGGCCGATTAGAATAATGGGCTACCTCTTTCAGGCATTTTGAATCTTAAGTTTGTGAAGAAAGGAAAATCAATAGTGGCAATGTGATATAGATTACAATAGGCTGCATCTCCAGGGGATGCTGAAGTAGTAGAAGCGTGTAGGTTCCAGATGAAGATCTCCTACATACCCAAACCAATCAGAGCACTGGTAAGAATATACTTTGACGGGGGCAGCTAATTATCAAGGTTACGATGCCTGACGGAATAACGAGCTATCTAAGTGAACTCCAGCCGGGGAAGGCCGATTACCTTTTCAGTATTCAACGCTGACATTTGCAAGTCACAAAACAATAGAAAGCAGAGTAGAAGCCTCCATCCGCCAGGTTAGAAGTCACAAATTAAGCCTTCAAATCAACGCTTGACCATTAATATGGGGACTTTTCCCTGATAGTCTCTCAAATCCTTTGAAAAGAGTAAAAACAAGCAACAGTGTTTGGATTCCTTATCTTCAGCACCTCGATCACTGGCTCATGCAGTTCAAAAATGTCCAATTCAACACTCCACCTTGGGCTGAGAATCAATTTGCTATCAAACAGCTACTTTGCCCTAAAGGGTTCGACTGCTAGCTAGAACATGTAACGAGTTGCTGAATATTTCAATTCACCATACTTGCCAACTACTGCGCAGCTCACTGTGCACCCTCCAACTCGCGATGGCAAAGCCATGCTTTGGACATAAGACCTGGTTAAAGAAGGAAAATACTTCGAAGGAGCTGTAGACGCCCCAAAATTTTGAGATCTTAAACTGATATTTATTTATCGGTCATGAAAGTGTGTCTACGAGATGGCGGATAATATTTAAATTTAGATCCGAGAAAGAATATTTGAGGTATATATTTAGCTATAAATGGATAGTGATTTAACCGGTCCCTCGTGAAAGTAATGACCGTTTGTGATATAGATACTTGACAGTCCGGGAGTTCGGTATTGATTTTGGTCCGGTCCAGGAAAATTAACATCTATTGTATTTTGTGGGTGTAGAAGATTTATATATATCCTTGAAAATAGAAAGAAATGGTTTTCGAATATTGTATGGCACCTAAGTATATTATGAATATAAAAATTTCTATTGAGGATTTAATATAGTTATGAAATATAGAAGTGTTGTTGTTAATGAATGATTTTATTGAAATGTTGGATAGTTTGGAGTTTAATTGGGAGTTGTTGTATCATTATGTTTGCGACTCAGTTTTTAAAGAGAAATTCTACAGTATTTCTTAGGATTTTTCCCATTTATTTTTAAAAAAAAAAAAAAACATAATACTCCGCTAAACTTGTTGAATGACTGTGAATACTCAATTACTTCTAATTCATAATCTGATTTTTTGATTTGTATGTTAAGTTAAAACGGTATCTCCGGCACCGAATGTGGCATCCGTCGTCGGGTCTCATGGGACAGGGCGGCGGGTGTTATAGGTGCCTCTAAATCTGATAATAGGACTCTTCGGGAACTGTCAAAAAGCTACCTGTACAAGGTTGGTATTCTGTATAAAAGGACATGGAATCAGGCACGTTTCAAGTGTGTAACAAAGGAAGAAGCTCAACAGATAATGGAGTGAGTACATGGCGGAGAAGAAAGCCCCCACATGAACGAAATGACTCTAGCTCATAAAATCACCAATCAGGATTACTATTGGCTTACTATGCGATCAAATTGTGCCAAGTTTATCTAGAAATGTCATAAATGTCAGATTTATGCCAAGCTTCAGAAGATGTCCCCTATAGCTCTTCATCCTATCTCCACACCATGGCCCTTTGCAACATGGGGAATTGATGTGATCAGTAGGATCACCCCAAGGTCCTCCAATCAGCATTAGTACATTCTAATAGCCATCAACTATTTCACCAAGTGAGTAGAAGCTGCTTCTTATCATATTCTGAACTCAAGGAAAGTGGCTATCATATTTTGAAGGATCAGCCATGGTCATACAAAAAAATCAGTTGCCCGAAACAGAATGGACTTAGAATTATCACAATCAGTTGAATGCTATTAACAAAAAAAAGGCTAGAAGCTCTTAATCAGATCCACAGCTACCAATAGAAAATAGCTGAGTAGGGCTACAATTCAATACTACACTAAGTCTAGCTACACCTAATAAAAACTCCACAATTGACACATAAATTAAATCTCACATAATTAAAATTACTAAAATAATTTATCACACAATAATTCATATATACGAGCATAAATCATATTTTTAATCAATTCAAATCACTATAAATTATTTCTAGATTCTAAAAATTCTAAAATACATATAAATAATTATGAATTATCTCACCACTGGATTGATTTAAAATATAAACTCCCTCGTTCAGGACCAAAATTGACCCGCCAATGACTTGATTCATTACTTGAAAAATTGGGACGTTATAGCTATGCACGTCATAACAAAATTAGTAATTTAACATTAATTTTCTTTTTTCTAATTTTAACCCGCAAATTACAATGAAAATTAAATTTCAGAATAAAATACAATGAAGATTCTCAAATTACCAAAAAAAAAAAAATATTAATTGGTTAGGGCTTATTGAAACTAAAAATAAGATTTTAGTAAAAGATAATTATGCCCATAAATTCGCTTACTAATAAGAAATTCCTAAGCAAGCTACCACATATGAAGTAAATGGTTTATTGACTAATAAGTTGGCCTTTACAAGCTTCAATATGACAGTGTTCTCCAAGTGAAGGATATGCTCGTCCGCTCCCACGAACAAGAGCTTTGATGCTCATGTTGAGTGCTTTGTCCTTCATCAGAGACTCCAGTGTCACATGTACACCTACGTTACCGTTCGTAAACCAAAATTACTAAAATGCCATACACAGCCTACTTAGCTAACCAAATTTGAGAAATAAGATTAAAAACATACGATATCTCCAATAGTGCTTTGGATTTGTGGGATCATTTATCGTCTCCTCTGTCGCAGGGCGTGTCATGTACTCTTCTTTCAATGCTAGCAAATCCTAATCATTCAATAATAACTCCTTGTTCATATATTGCTGAACATTAATTCTTTATATATTACAGCCACCCAGTTTTGCATGATACCTGAAGAGGGAAAATTGCCCACATTGATGGAGCTTCAACATGTTGCCTTATGATGAAATCTGCAATCTCTGGCGTACATCGACTAGGTGGCAATGCATCAGAGCCCACCACATTCTTGAAGAATCTAAACCTTCTTTCTTCGTCTTCTTCCCACCAAGCACGCATAGTGGAGCAGTCATGGCATGATGGAGCACACACCTGAAGCATAACCATTTCATTGCAAACAGAAAATAATTTTATGTTCTAGAAACATAAAATAAGGATATTGGACAACTATAGGAAACAAATATTTAAATTTCAGGGAGAAGAGGTTGCCTTGTATTCCACAGTGCAATACCACAATCAACAAATAAATAAGCTCTAACATGTCCACTTATTTGAGAATAGAAACATACAAACAGTCTCTCTAGTATGGCATTTACAAAGTTTCTACTGTTTCAGTAATGATATCTTGTCTCAGTTGTGCCAATTGTTGTTCAAAAGCTCAAAATGGCTGTTATAAATGAATGAACATTGATCATGGAATCTGCCACTTCTTTTCAGATTTGGAAATTCTCTGAAAGAGATTGTTCAGATCAAATGTTGATGAAGCCAGTATGAATAAATAATAATCAGTTAACCTTTTCTTGTGCTATGAGATCTACTAAAATGTTAGGAAAACACAATCAAGGGAATAGATCTGAATAGATCTTGCACACTCTAGGGTCAAACAAAGTTCATTTAAAACCGAAAAATCAAAACAAACCATCTAGTTTGTGTTTTTTGGTTTCATTGTTCAGTTAATAGATTCTGTTTTGGTTAATAAGAAAATTTTCATTTGTTTTTGTTTTGGTTATAGGACAAAAATTTGTCTAAAACTGAATGACTGGTTCGGTGGAAGAGAAAATAAAACATCGCTTTTCAATTTTTTGGGTTCGGTTTTGATTGCACAACCTAGCTTACTGGATGATCGTGGCAAATTCCCATTAAAATCCTCTTCACAAGCAAAGGATCTTGAAGTGCTAACTTTTAAAAAGAGTATCAATGGAAATTCTTTTCATCCTTTCTGCTTCACTTTCTTCTATTTCCACTCTAACTTTCTAGACATCTAAACTGATATGAATTAATTCTCATTCAACCCATAATCAAATCGAAAGCTAATGGTGAAGGTACTCAATTTAAGATGCTCAAAGCCATATTTAAAGGCTAGATGTAACCAGCAGAATTGGCCAAACCCTACCTCTAAACAGCTTGGTGGTCAAACCTGGCCGGTTCACTTGGCCAGCCATCAGATTTGACCATTTTTGATAAATTGCAAACCTGAACTGGAAGTATGACCAGTTCCCAGTTAAACCAGTTGAACCAACTGGTTTGATTCCGTAAGTGATGTCAAGTTTTGAAGATCATGGTGATGGTATGGCTGTCGGCAGCTATGCTTTCAAGATGGAAAGAGGTATATTTTATTATGTTGCAAATTCTAACATATTTTGACTACAAAAATTTTGACATATCAACATTATTTGAACTCATTGATAATCAGCATGAATAGTAGTAAATCTTCAGGAAAATGTTTTTTCTGGAAAATATTTCATACCAAATAGAAAAGTGAAACACCTAAAAAGCTTAACTGCATGTTTTGGAATCAGAGAAGCGCTTAATATTGTAGTTAGCCAGTAATTTTTTTTTTTTTAAGAAAAAAGACATTATGTACCATAAGGCCAAGCCTTGTAGCCAGTATGTTCAAAGTAAAGCTAAATAACATTGATTTGCAGCAAAGTGCCAGTATGTTCAGTAAGTGAAACTATTCTATATAGCCAGTAGACAGCATCCATTTTGAGCAATTTTTTTCAAATAGTTCGCTCAAAGAAGATCCTTTTTAGTAGTTGCAGAAAATGATACTATTTCTGTTTTTCACTATTTTGGTAGCGACTTCATTTATCGTTGCCATAAATTTATTACTAGCCACTATGATTACAATCAAGAGTAAAATTATTACTAGCCATTATATTATAAGATTTGGAACTTACAGTCATGTAGCTGTAGTGAGAAGGATTGCCAAACTCCACACCAGGTTCACTAGGCATACGTTGAATACGCAAACCAATCAATCCCAAATCTTGCATAACCTGCATTAGAAGTTCAAGCCTAGACATATAAGACTCTAAAAAGAGAAGCAAACAAGTAGGTAATTAGGCTCAACTCCGAGGAAAGTTGAATGCAAATACAGGGTGAACACAGGCAGGAATCAGGCCCAAATCTTCTCCACAGGCTAGCATGTCTGATGAGTTCAGGAGGACAGGCAATGTTTTCATAGCATTTTGCCTCCATAGAGTTTCTTGTCGGTGGAAATAGTAATCATGGTACAATCTTTTCAGAACATTTTTGCTGCAAAGCATGACAGCTAGTGAGATATGCTGCATTGGTGGAAATCAAGAAAACAGAAGAAGAAGAAGCAGAAGAAGAAGAAAGAATTTCATGAGCTGAATCCAACGTAAATAAAAGAAAGATGACGCAAACTCGAATAGTCTTTATGTTCTTCAATAGGGCTATTCAAATTCTTAAACTTGCAGTAAATTTTCAGGTTGAGTCCTTGAACTAAAGGAAAGGCACAATCGAGTCCTCCTATTTTACTTTTTAGTGGAACAATGTTAATAAGCCAATTCTTCATTTCGAATCCCTTATAAATTGTTTGAAAGAAAAAATGTATCATTTTTCTCTTATAGAGGCAGGGGATAAGATCAATATGATCAATTTTTGAACACAAGGACTTAATTGCACAAAGATGTCAAATTTGAAATTTGATAGCTAATTTTTTTAGCTTAGTGATTCAATCAAATATATGTTACAATTTCAGGAATTAAGAATTTCCTTGCCTAGATTACATAGAAATGTAGAATGTGAATTCAGGTACATGAAATGAAAAGAGGAATGTAACATCCTTACAATAACGATAGGTTTCTCTCAAATCACTCAGTAGGAACAAAATTATCAAAATTGCATATATAACAACATATTGAAAAATATCACTATACTAGATTCAAATAGAAAAAAACCAAAAAAGATGGTCAATTTAGCTTGAGTTCGTCTATCCGTAACTTAAACATCTGTATATATGTGTCTACTGAAGTATAATATAATTCACTCTTATCAGAGCAATCTAGGGTGAAATCTTTGTGTCTGCCAATTTTTTTTTTCTCTGCTAATTATTTTTCCTTTCAATTTCAGCCAGTAGAATTCTAGGTCACCCATCTACAGTCGTTGGATCCACTCCACCATCCACTCCTCTAGCTACCAACTAGCCTATCTGTTAATGACACGAGCGTAGGACTGAGTCACAGGGCGGTTTACTGGAAAATCTATGTCAATTGCCATTCCCTTCTTTTGATTCTTCTTGCAACCTATTTTTCCTAACTAATTCAAGCTCTTCAAAGGGAACTTGAAAACCTTGGACCTCGTTAGAGAGAGAGCTCCAATCTCAGAAATTTAGTAAAATACGATGTAGGTCTTTTTACTATTTAATTGTCCCTTTAAATAGGACTAGTCTTATTACAAGATTAGGAAACCTATAATTTTAGACTCCTTAATACTGAAACCTCTGCTAAAAAGGAAATAACCAACATGGTTCGGCCCACAAATGCATCCACAACATTACTCCCCTCCTGGACAAAGAGCTTGTCCGCGAGCTCAAAATCTGGATAAGCTTGCTGAAAATGAGCCAAATCTTCCCAAGTTGCATTAGAAGCAGCCATACCACTCCACTACACTAAAATCTCTTTTTGACCCGATTAAGGCAACCCTTAGGACAGATGCTGGAGTATAAACCACATGGACTTCATCAATAGGAGGAAGAGTGGAAGGAATAGGGGGTGAAGCACCCTTAAATGCCTTCAATAAGGAAACATGGAAAACATTATGGAGCTTGCTATCCGATGGAAGTTGCAGCTCATGTGCCACAGATCCAATTCTGCAAAGAATTTGAAAAGGACCATAGAATTTGGGGGACAGCTTGTGGCGCTTGGAAGGAGAGAGGGAATGCTGGCGATGGGGGCGTAAACGAAGCCACACAAAGCTGCCCAGAGCATATTCCACATCAAGGTGGCCCTTGTCATAAAATTCTTTCATCCTATTTTGTGCCAGCAGAAACTTGTTACGAATGTCATTCAAAATCTGATCCCGGTTCACTAAAGCAGTGTCAACATCATCTACACGGGAAGAACCAGCCACATCAGAAAGCAAACGAGGGGGTTGCGCCTATACACAACCTTGAAAGGGGTTGTTTGAAGTGATGCACGAAAGGAAGTGTTATAACAGTATTCAGGCCATGGTATCCATGGAACCCCCTTACTGGGAAACTCGCCAGCCAAGCACCGAAGATACATCTCAATTGTGCGGTTGACTACCTCAGTCTGACCATCCGTTTGCGGCTGATAAGCTGTGGAAAACTGCAGGTTTGTGCCACTCAATTGGAAGAGTTCCCTCCAAAAAGCACTAGTGAAAACCACATCTCTATCACTAGTAATAGTTTCTGGTAAGCCATGTAAACGCACAATCTGCTCAAAAAATACCTGAGCAGCTCGAACAGCTTATAAGGATGTGCTAGAGGAAGGAAGTCCGAATATTAGAGAAACGATCTACCACCACTAACAAGACCATTTTGCCCCAAGACTTGGGCAGTCCATCAATAAAATCAATGGAGATGTCAGCTCAAATTTGTGTAGGAAGCTGAAGTGGTTGAAGCAACCCAACAGGATTTAGATTTTCGACTTTATTGCGCTGGCATACTGGACAAGCTGAAACATAGGCAGCAATGTTGGATTTCATTCCCTTCCAATAGAAATCGCTATGGATTCGATGAAGAGTCTTCTGAATTCCCTCATGTGCACTATCGTAGCAAATAGATAAAATGGAGGAGAGCAAGGTAGAGGATGGCAAGAGGTAGAGTCGATCCTTATATAATAATAACCCATCCTTGGTTGCCCAAGAGTCTCCTAATGCAGCCTGTTCAGCTTTAGCATACAGCTCCTTTAATGTATCAGACCCAAGAATCTCCTCCCTTATTGCATCAAGTAACATAGGACGAGGTTGACTAATAGCAAACCCCATGAGTTTACTAAGCCAATGTTGTTGTGGAGGAGTGTTAAGTCGCTGTTCCAGCAAGTACTTCAAACTATAATGGTCAGTTCGAATAAGAAAAGAACGTCCCCATAAGTATGGTCGCCAATGTTGCACGGCTTTGGCAAGCCCAATTAATTCTCTTTCATAAGCTGCTAATTTAAGGTGTCTAGCAGCCAATTGATGGCTAAAAAAAGCAATTGGGTGACCTGCTTGTTGTAAAACCGCTTAAATTCCTCCACCCGAAGCATCACATTCCACTATAAATTCAAGATTAAAAGTGGGCAATTGTAAAACTGGTGCTTCTGATAATGCTTGCTTAAGTTTAGTTAGGGAAGTTAGTGATATGGATCAAGGGAGCAAGTTGAAGGATCCTCTAGCTCTACCCGTGGGACCAATCACAAGAGCTCGTGCAACCAAGCTACGAGCAGCCTTGAATGCATTTACTCAAGAACCAAGCTGATGCAGCCTTGAATGCATTTACTCAAAGAAACAACAAGCTAGAGCACCTTGAATGCATTTACTCAAGAACAAATTCACATTAAGAAGCTTCAAGATCATAATTATTGCAAGATGGTGAGATTGAACTTTGAAGAAACCCAAAGCTTGTTATGGTGCTTGAGGCGTGCACAGAGGCTGCCCAATTGAATGCATTCTTACATGGTTCCTATACTTAGGCAAATTTTAGAGGATGTTATTTTATTTATGAGCTTTAAGTAATGGGCTGTGTGGCCTCTGGCCCAATTTGTCTGTTTTTGTTTAAATTCTATTAGTTGAAACTTAATTAATCTCTTGTAAGGCTGGTCGGTGCTTATTTTTCCAGAGTTTGGCCAGTCCTAGATTAGTTAATGTTTAAGTCAGCTTGTTTTTATTAGTTAGCTTGGACCTTGTATTTAATTAGCCCCATTTGGGCCACATGTAGGTTTAGGCCTGGGCTAACTTAAATTAAATAGCTTAAATTAGGGTTAGCTTAAGGTTATTGTATATTGTTGTAGAGAGGCTGCCACTGGCAGCCACCTTATTTTTAATACAAAAACAAACGTGGTTTTTTCTTTGTTCTTCAGAAACAACCGTGTTCTTTCCCATCCTTGATGAATGAACCGAATCTTTCCTTAGTAATTATAGGCTGGTGAGTTTTCTACAAAGTTAATTGCGCCAAGAATTTCACGAGTTGTTTTTTCAAGAGTACTTTGAAGGTAAGTTTCCTGATTCTTGTTCTAAATTTCCTTGTTTTCTCTCCTTTCAAAGAGTACTTGGGGTTTAAAGGGATTGACGGGTACTTCCGTGATTGCATGCTTTTCACGCTAGATTTCTCTTGTTGAATTTGCAGAGTACTTGGTTAATTGGCTTAGGGTCGTATTATATTATCTGGTATCAGAGCACTGTGGTTGTGGATTTCAATCTATCCTAGGGTTAGGGACTTAAGAAAAAAAAAACGAAAAGAAAAAGTAATTTTTGTGAGAATTTAGCTGCAAATTCGTATTAAAAAAAAAAGTTGTTGTTATTCGTTTTTACCTGAGAATTATATGCTAGTAAACTATACGCTTGTCTGAAGCACTTGAAGAATTGATTGGTGACAACCTGAAACTGTGCACTGAAGTGAATTGATATTCTAGCACTGCTATAGTAGTCCATGTTCTTCCCTCCCAAGAAGCACCGCTTCAGAAAAATGCGCTGGTTTAAAAAGAAATCACAGTCTCGCCAAAAGTCTGACAGATGTTATACTTGTGGCAAAAAGGGGCATTATGCAAAGAATTGTCCTAAGAAGCCCAAACAGGATTCTAGTAATCTATTATTTGTTTGTGTGGAACAATTAGAGCTGTAGTAGTTAGGAAATTTTGGATTTCGCACATTCAGGGAGAAGCACGCCCGTGCCACCTCCATAATCAGCCCGTGCCTGCCACTGGAAGTCCAGGCGAATCTGCAGGCTAGGAGAAGCACGCCCGTGCTACCTCTGGAAGTCCAGGCGAATCTGCAGGCTGGGAGAAGCACGCCCGTGCTACCTCTCTAATCAGCCCGTGCTTGCTTCTGGAAGTCCAAGCACGCCCGTGCTCACCTCTGGAAGTCCAAAACTTGTCCGTGCCTTTCCAGCATGTCCGTGCTTTGCCTTTTATCATTGCTAAAGTGTTATTTGCTTGTACCTTCACTTTGGTTTATTAACTTCAAGCAATACACCTTCTTGTTCTTGTATTGCCATTCAAAACGTTGTGATGTCTTGATAGAGTTTGTGCATTACTTGATTATATTCTTTGCTGTCCTAACTTTCTCTTGAC